TTTTCATGAGAATTTAAGAGTCAATCCCTTGAACTCTATGAAGCGACACCACTTCATTCTCATATAGGTAGACTATATCAGAAATGCACCCATTATGCACTTCAGCAAACATATGCTATATGTCTATTAAAAGGAAAACCTCATTCTACCACACTTATTTTTATGGTTCAAGTACTTTTATCCCTGGGGATGTATCTATCGTTAAGTACTTCAATCACTCTAATAGTGTACTTTCATCATTGAACTCAAGACTTAATGATAATCAAGTGTGAGTTGAGTTTCCACTATCGATGATTAATTAGATATGGGCTTGTTCCACATCCCTAATGATGTCTTCATTGTATTCAATTATTCCAAAGACATCATATCTTTGTCAATCCTTTCGTTAAAGAATTGCAAAAAAATTCCAAACTTTAATAAACTTTGAATGTTCAATCTTTCAACTAATCATGTATATGATTAATTTATGTATTCTTGATAGTATTTATCATCTATCATTAAACCAAAACACTTTTGTCATATTAGTACAATTATCATCTACAAAATATATTATATATTCTTGATAGTTTTGATAAACTATCTTCATGACACTTTTGTATTTCATTTTGTCATATTCATTAATTTTGTGTCATTTTTCCTTTTCTAACCTTTTTACTTTGAGGTTTTACTTCCACTTAAATATATTCAAAATATATTTAATGCATTTTATAGCAATTGACAACCATGATCATACAAATTTGTCATGACTAACTTTTATTTCATGAAGTGAGTTCAAACATGTAATTCATAAACTCCATATAAATACAACATCATGTGACAAATTCATGTTTCATATTTAAAAATGTTTATGATATATCCAAATAAAAATTAAAAAATAAACAATAAACCAACATCACTAATATTTCTTTTAACGTTTCTCGATGAACACTTATCAACTTACAACAAGATAAAATATATTCAAATTACTTTTAATATCAAGATAAATAAGAAATAATACTTGCATATTATGATACACATATAATATAAGATAAATCATTTTAATTTTAAAATTCTTGCATAAACAAAAATATAATTGAAACATGTTCTTGATATTTTTAACATGTTATTTACACCATTTTATGTTATCAATAAATTTACCATATATTCAAATTTATGATTTTAATTTATTTTAATTATTACTAAATAATCTCATCTAGAAATAGTGCATTATTAATTAAAATAAATTATTTGCATCAAAGAAAAATATTTAACATACATTTTACATTCAAGTTTATAACATAAACCAAACATATTTATAATTATTTCATTTCACATATTTGAATAGTTTATAACTCATGCATGTATAAATTTAATATCACATGTTAAATGTAACATAAATACACATTATTTATGTCATATAATATTATACATGAATTTAAAACATTATATGAATATATATTAATGCAATCAAATTATTATGTACCTTTCACCATGGTTTTGAATAAGAGAGCATGAATTCATTTCCCCATCAAAGTTGCAACCATAAATTAATCATAAAATTTATAAATTGAACCTAAAGATTATTAGATCTTGTGTCAGGGGTCTGCTGCAAAACATGAACAAGAAGAAGATGATGAAGACGGTACGATAAAAGTTGCACAAAATAAATTTCAAAGTGTGTGTTTACACTAAGCTTTAGGTTCGATTCGCCCCCACCAATTTATGCAAATTGGATGCAAAAGGGTTAATCAGCGAATCCCCTTCAAGATACTTTGGGAACCTTAACATGAATCGCACATTCAAGTTAAGCATATCGATCAACAATATTTTACAGAATAAAGTTCCATTATTTATTCTTGTGCACTAGAAAAATAAAAGAATAACTTAGATATAATTTTTGGCACTTGAAACAAGTAGTTTTTGTGTCTTTTTTATGCCTAACATGTATTTCTATTTATAGAAAAACTTATACCAATTGGTGAGGATAAATAATGTTTCAATTGATTCTAACATGATCATTCGCGAACCATTGTATATCAATAACAACATACTTTTTTCATGAAAAGTTGTGTTGATCTGTTGGTTGCACCTTATGACCACGCACCTAATCATTATAGGGTCTCTGGTTCTGTTCTAGACAGTTGCAACTTTTGGCCATTTATTTTTTTAATTTAACCATTATTATCCAATTCTAATTGAATCATCACTAGAATCTCCAAAGATCTCATTCAACACACTATCATCTTCGTTATTCACACAATCTTTTTGGTTACATTTCAGCCCCTCACTTGCTTGGTTACATTATGCTCCCTGATGATCCCATTAGTTACAAATCAGTCCCTCAACTACAAAATCACTTTGAACATTCACCAATTAGGGTGTTTCATCCAATACATCATCTTCTTGGTCAAATACAATATGTCCAGTGATCCCATCTAAAGTAATATCCATTATTGCATCCTCAGACACAGTGTTTCCCTCAAAGTTAACATCCAGACGTGACTCTTTTTGGCTATTGGCTTCAGTGGTCTCATCCATATTAACATCCTCAAATGAAGCTTCTTGGTCAACTACAGCAAAATCTTCTAAATATGTGGGCCCTTCTTCATCAAAATTATTACCTAGATTATTCAAATCTTCAGTGGCCCCTAAGTCATCAAAAGTTCCTTTTACACTATTATTCAATTCATCCAACATGTCATCTTACAAACTGTCGTCTTCTACAACATTGGGACCTACATTGTTTTCACCATTTGGATCTACATTGTTTTCACCATTTGGACCTACATTGTTCTCAAGAGGCAATATTTCCTCTTCCCCATACACTAGATGCATTACAAATAGATGAACATTCTCATTGATCGGTGCAATGGTCTTCATTCTATTTGTTCTTGTGTCATCTTGCTACATCACTAACTCATTATCACCCATTGCATCATAATACCATAAGTTCTCAATTTTTGGGTACCCTAAATCTTTTAACTCACCTAAACCTCAAAATAACTCCAAAAATCCGGGTCAACTTGTCAAACATCCTCCAAACCCTTGTAACCTAATATGTTAAACTCACCAAACACACTCTCATGATGGACAATACACTCAAACCTATCACTCATGACCTAATCACACCAAATAGCTCAGAAATCAGACATCGAAGTAAAAGAAATTGTTAAAACATCTGCTTTTTAAAATAGTGAGTTCATACATGTACCTTAGTCTTGAAATGAGACAGTGGTTGAGTTGCTACGTATCGTCTTCTGCTATTGTCTTCTCTAACACTCGTCGCCTTCAACCACTGAGTTCTTCTTCTTCGCAGTTGCTAGAGTTTTTTTAAGCAACGATAATGAAACTATGAAGTTCAGAGAGAAGTTGAAGAGTTTAGGATATTTGTTATTAAAAATGAAAACAAAAAGGATCAAAGGAAAATCAAAAGACTCACAATGACACATCACTATCATAGTCACTGGAAAAAAAACAATGTCACATAAGTATCACACAATGCTATATACGAGTCTGTTAACATTTTTCCAAAAAAAAATAACAAAAATAATTTATTGTGTTAACGGAGTAGCCTTAAAGAATTACATTGTAACATTTTTTAATTGTGGAATTAATTAGAAACAATAAATTAACTTAAGAGACTAAAAGATAATTTATATGGTTACTGATTCTGTAGATTGTTATCCGTAATTTCTTATTAATTAAACCTTATGTTTTAAGTTAATCCCTAATGTTTGGAGTGAATTATAAGTAAAATCAAGCTATTCTAGGTTAATATAAATAAAAATAGGTTTGAAGAGTCTATCCCTAGTCTTAGGGGATGAAGGGCAAGAATGTTTTTATCAAAGGAGTATTATTTAACATTGAACTTATGTTCTGACGAAAAAAATCATATAGTTTAGAGGTGATAATTCAGTAAAAGCATTAAGTATATATGAAAAACAAACCATATATTGATAACAATATTCCAATTGGCAAATTCAATTTAAAGTACCAAGGTTCACCCCTAACACGAGAGAATTTTGAAACTCACAATTCTAGGATCAAAAGTATGTTGAACAACGACTGCTCAATGCCTCTGCTGTGTTCTTTTGCTCTAAAATGTGTCTTCAAACATCAAAATTTTCCGAACCCTTGTCAAAAGTCATGTTTTTTTTTTCTTTTATTGTTGATTTTGGAAGTATGTACACAATATTTAGGGGTATATACATTTTTTATACTTCCATAGGTTGTACAAATGCTGGCTTGGGCGTACATACAATGGCCTCATGCTTTGAACTAGCGTTTGGATGCTTATTTGGGCATACAGATGCTAGCAGTTGAAATCCTGCTTTGGGCTTACAAATGTTGTCTTGGGCATACATATGGTAGCCTAACACTCTGAACTGGCGTACAGATGTTTAATTGGGTGTACGCATGTTGGTCTCAGTGTATGTGTTGGATTTGTAGCATGTATGTTGGATTCGTAATAAGTATGCTAGTTGGCATAATTTCTTGTATAATTTTCATCAACTTCTTGATATTGGTCAGAGAACTATATATATCTAGAATGCTCAATTGGATCGTTATGCTGGTTGTCTAATTAATGATCCAAACCAGAATAATGCAGGTTGTCCTATTACTGATCCAAACCAGAACAATGCACAATAAAATCACAAGCTATGTTACGATTGTGCAAGAAAATATAAAGGAAACAATGTTCAACGAGTAAAAGCACAGTAACACATACATAATATCAGAATATTCATACACCCGGGACACTCCAAAATCCATTGCCAACACCAGAAGACTGTAAATTGAAAATGTGACCTTCAATATACTATATAGCATCTTAGCATCACAATGTAAGAGTCTCCCTAAGTGTACAATGACTATTCAATCAAATAATTCTTGCATTCATTTTCAAATTTGACATCAGATATACATGTTGATGATGGCCTTAACACAGACAGCAGCATAATCAAAAGACAAGTCTCATTCTTCTCTCAATTTGCCACCATCAAACTTCATATAGCTGCCTATCAATATTTAAAAAGTAAAACCGCTTTCCCACTCATATAGAAATAAATGCAGCGTTTTGGTATGGAAGTTATAGATAGGCCTGCAAAAAGAAACAAAACTCCATGAATGTATTATCCCTACAACACAGTGGCATCAGGAAATATAAACCTCATTATCAAGAATATGAAGAGAGAAGAGTTACCATAGCTAGCACCAACGATGCAATGCCAATTGAGGCCATGCCTTTTTTCGAACTCTTTCTTTATCTCCTCAGCAATATAACTGTTCTTGAATAAGTGTTTCTTAAACGCCTGCAGATTAATACATGATTGTAGAAAAGTTCAAAACTATATGAAACTTGACATCATGAAAACAAAAACCCAGAAAGAAAGTCGGAAAAAAGAAAGATAGACTAACATCGTCTGCGACATCAAAAGCCTCATATCGCATTTTATAAGTCATGTCTTGAATCTTGATGAAGACGGTATTCTCGAAGAAAACAGGTGGCAGTGGTGTTCGTGGTGGAGGTGATGGAGGTGAGTCGGAAACGGGTTTCACCATCGATTGTGGTAATGGTGGTGTGATGCGAACAGGGTTCACTGCTGATGGTGGTGTGACGGAAATGGATTCTGCAGTTGGTAGTGGTGACTTGGAATTCTTCTTCTTGTTCTTCTTGTTCTTCTTCTTGTTTGCCATATTTTTGGTTGTGATTACTGATCAAGATGGCTAAGCTTGGAAATCTATGGCTCGTTTGAAAATAATCACTTCCCTCCTTCAACAAATATATAGCAAATGAAATTGGGTGTCAGTTATAAATCCAAACTTAAAAGGGACTGATCTGCAATTCTTAAAAATGTACATTTTTTAGAAAGACATCCTTTTTGTTATTTTATAACTGCCTCTAACCGCTCTCTCCTTCATGAACAGACAGAAATCACATTTCATTACACTGCTATGCTATTTTGATCAATAACATTTCATGCACAAAAATGAAGTTTCCACTCATTCTCATTTCACTCTATGCTCTCTCTTTCTTACAAATATCTTATTCCACAGGTAACCGATAAGCAGCAACAATCTTCCAAATATTATACAAAGTTATGCAGAATCTTAATCATTTCTTGTTTGATTTTTGGTTCTTCAGATAGATCACAATTGCCTATGATTGCTTTCAGTTGGTGGGATGATATAGGTACATTTATGGCTGGTGAAACTGCAACCATTAAGGTTAAAGTACTTGAGAATGGTGATAAAATCGATAGAAATATTTTCCATCCCATACTTACTGTCAATGGAAAGGAAGGAAATAGTTCCTATATATCTACCGTGTTGTCGGATTTCGAAGGGGACTTTGATAGTTGGAAGATTTCCTTCACTCCTATTAGGGTTGGATTGTTCAATGTCCTCATTGATGAAGATCGTTACAAGGTTTCTGACTCGTCGCTGCATTTCCAAGTTGAACCAGGTTTCATCAAAACCCTAACTTAATTATCAAATAGACGGGTACTTTCGTGTCTGTCTGTCTGAATTAGTTAGTGTATATCATGATGTTATACATAATGTAGTTTGATTCGGTTTTCGTATGTGTTTATTTATTGAATGATTTTTGATATTGGTATTGTTTGATTGAAGGGAACATGTATCCTTCTGTGTGTATAGCATCATGGAAGGGGATGAAGTATGAATTTGAAGCTGGTTCAAAAGCTACAATCATGGTGCTACTTAAAGATGCATTTGGGAATGGAATTTCGAAGACAACTCAAGTTTCCTATATGCCTGATTTTAAGTTGTTTGTATCAAGTAAAAGTGGTTCTATTGCAAATGAACCTGAAATCTCCAACATGGGATGGAATGAGTTTGATTATATAGTCATCGAGTTCGTAGTGACCAAAGCTGGAAACTTCTCTTTGCGCATCGAAGGAGGAAATCAAACCTTGAACGGTTCTCCCTTACCGTTGAAAGTGAATCCAGGAGTTATAGATGTTTCTAAATCTGTTGCTAAATGGAAAATTGAACATCATGCATGGCAACTGTCTTCAAAGATGGAGATCTTCATAAATCAGTTGGATCAATTTGGAAATCTGGTTTCGGGACTGTATCCGTTTGATGTTGAAGTTGTTGAAAGAGACACGAATCTGTCGATACCAATAGCAGATCTTCATTTTGAGGAAGTGGAAGCTGGAATTCAGTTGTTTTCCTTTGGTAATTGGGAACCAGGGAACTTCCTGCTAACAATATATGATGCCAAACATAACAAAAGCATTTCCAATATGCCATATGTATATACTGTTTTTGTCGGTAAAGTTTCGTTTCATGCTAATTCTTTTCATTTTGTCTTTCTCCTTGTGGACTTTTAGTTTAAGTTTATCACAATGTTTCGGGTTTTTTCTTCCGATCAGGTTATTGTGATGGCGTAAAAAGTGTTGTCAATGGATCTGGTTTAAATGACTCAGTTGCTGGGATAAGAGCAGAATTCTCTGTTTATTTGAATGACATGTATCAATATCCTTCTCCTGTTGAAGAAGGCATACTTCAAGTACAAATCTTAAAAAATAACGACTCGTACAGTGTTTCGCCAATTATATATCCCATGATAAATAATAATGGTATTTCAAAGGATCCTTTTACAGTACATTTAATAAATGTATTTCGCTTGTTATAATACAATGATGATTGATCTTGATATTAGGAAGTGGAATGGACTCAGGAGTGAGATACGATGGAATCGACCTCACGGAAACCACCCCGTCGCCTTCACCTTCAATTGATATAGGCAGCAATGTGAGGAACACAAACATAATAAGCAGCGCATTTCAAGTCGAATACACACCAGAGAAAAGTGGCTTTTATGACATTAATGTATATTGTGGAAACATAATATTGAATGAGGGTCATTCATTCAGAAAAGAGGTAAAATCAGGTATCAAAATTTGTTTTTGTCAGGTAATTTTTTCGTATTTTTATTAATAGTTCCGATCATTTCTCATGCGCCCTTAGCTTGTTGCAGGTGAAGTAAATATCTCATTGTCGAGTGTGGTGAGGTTTTCTTCAAAGGTACCAAAATTGTCAAAGAATGAGATAGTTGTACAGGTTTTGGATTCATATTTAAACCCTGTCCTCTCGCAAGAATCAAAGTTGAAATTGGAGATTACTTCAACTAATCATTCTGGATTTTCAATTTGGGACACCATTAATAACGAGGATGGATCATACACTTGCAGCTATATGGTTAAAGATGTAGGCACTTATGAGATTTGTGCTTCTTTTGATGGAAAACATTTCTTGCCATGTCCCCTCGGTATCAATGTCTATAGTAGTAAGTTCAAACAATGCGTGATTTATTAATCGAGTTTTGGCAAAATATGCTCCTTTGTATTCCTTAACGATTCTTCTGTCGGATGACATGCAGATGAATATTTTCCTAAGGCCAATGATGATACATTATCGATTTGGGAGGATGAATCCATTGCCTTTGATGCCTTAGAAAATGATTATTTTGCTGGTGATAATGCAAGTATAGTTGAATTCTCAAAAGTAAGACATGCTGTCAATTTGTTCCAAAACATTTTCTTAGTCTTCTTTTTCCTGTTATTCTATGTTGATTTTTCATCTTTATTTCTCGGTATTCTTTTGATTTATGATAAATGAAGTGTGACCCCTTTTGTGTTACTTTTTCAGTCAGACCATGGTTCACTTATACAAAACGGAAGGATCTTTCGCTACACACCCTATGAAGATTACTATGGAAATGATTCTTTTTGGTATACAATATCTGATATAAATGGAAATCTTGCTACAGCTTCTGTGTACATTTCAGTTCTCAATATTCCACCTCAGTTTGCTTCGGCTCCAAGTCAACTGCAAGCAACAGAAGATCTGATAAGTCCTAGATTCGGGTCTGTATCTGCATCATATATAAATATTTGCGATGAAATTATGCAATCTTAGTTAATTGATTAGTCTTTTTCTCTATATTATTTTATTATTATGATCTCTTGCAGCGGTTTTTCTGGGTTTGAGATAACGTATTCAAATCTATTGGAGAATATATCTCTCAATCTGAGAGCACAATATGGAAGTATGTTTCTGTCTCCGGTGTTGATGCAATTTGGAGAACCAATGTGGAGCGAACTTACGATTAATGCAGGAAACGAAACAGCAAGCAGTTTAATACTAGAAGGCTCGGTGGAAGTTATTAACATCGCGCTTCAGTCACTTCAGTACCTCGGGTAATGTACAATCCACATGAAACTTTTTCATGCCAGCATGTTCGGGCATCGGTTTTGTTAATTCTTCTTTTTGCTTTGCAGAAATGAGAATTTTTACGGTGCAGATACCATTCAAGTCTCCGCGAAGAATAAGAACGGAGTCAATTCATTGAGTGTTCCGGTTTTTGTTGATCCTATCAACGATCCTCCATATATAAGAGTCCCTTACTTCATCATATTGAGGAGTGATGAAGATGAGAGACTTATCTTTGACAAAGATAAAGACAAGTTTGAGTTTTACATCGGAGATCCCGATCTTCTTACGTTCCCTAGTGGCGAGGCTCATTTTCTGATGTCGTTTTCTATGGAAGTAAGCGACGGATTATTAGCTACAAATCTTCCATTTCATTTGATCAACACAACTGAAGTGAAACACAGGAATAATTATCAGTGGCAGTCTCTTCAAACATATGTAACTATCTCAAAGCACTTTATGGTCAAAGCCAGTGGAATCAGATTTCAAGGCACAGTAAATGACTGCAATACTGTTATGCAGCAACTCTATTATCATGTGAGTCATGTTATTATTTTTCCTGTGTAGCATCGACACCTCTGAAATAAAACATGTCTGTGTCAGACACCGACACTAACATGTTTAATTTATTCATTTTTTTCAAATTATTATCGGTGTCGATGAGTTAGTGTCCATGTCATGTCTGGTGTCTGTGTTTGCGACCGTGTTTCATAGGTTTTTACTCTCTTTTTTGTCCAGGGAGATGAAAATGGAGCAACATTAACATTGACATTGAATGACATGGGAAACTATGGGTGTTATCCAGATTGTGATGAAGGAATGACAATGCCATTATATACTGAGGCTATGGTCAACTTAATGAGGAAGCAGCCAATGGATTCATTTCTTGCTCACAGTAAGTTGCAGGTTTCGTACTCGAGTTTTGTTGAAAGTATCTTAATGAAAAAGAGACTTACAAGCTCATTCTATTTGTGTAACAGCATTAGGATCAATTATTGTCATTGAATTCGTTATCATTACCTCACTTGGATTGTTGCTTCTATACTTCACCTGCAAATGTGCAATTCTTCTTGTGCATGAAAGAAGAAAGAATAAGAAAATGTCTTCAGAGCCATCTACAGATCAAACTTCCCAAGGACAAACTGTAAGTGCATAAATCAAAGCAAATAACTCGTTTGGCGTTTCTTTTCCGTTCTATTAACCATGTTGCTTTGCTTTATGTCACAATGACATGCAGTCAAGCATCAACATACCTGAGAATACTACTAATTTCACTGGCGGCTGTTGGAGCTCTTCCTTGCTCCGTTTTCGGGCGCAACCATCAAATTTTCGCCAACGGTAACTACTTTGATTCATTATATAGCATAGTAGTTAGATTTTTACAATCTCTTGAGTAATTTCTTATCCAAACTTTCAGATTCCGTGCTCCATTTGAAGTTGGAGAACCTAGCATG